TTATACTGGTGAAACAGTGATACAGCCTGCAGTATTCCCACCAAACAAAAGCATTTTAGGGATAGAAGCCTAATGATTACTATTAATCATTAGGCTTTATGACATCTAAATTTATTAGTTTATTGAAGTATTAGCACCTGTCATTGCTTTCCCTTGTCCCTGTAGCATTCTACATCATATTCACTCATTCTATAATGCTTAATATTTAAACTAGTTTATCACAAACGTAACACAGACCAGTAAAGTTGGTGAGACTGAATCTGAAATTCTATAATTATTCAATTGAGCAAAGTTCAGACTCATGGTTTGACTAAAAACACTAAAGAATAGAATCTCACTCTATTGCTGATTATGTCCAAAGGCAGATGTTTATAATTTTATAGATTTTATAAAGGTCAGAACCGGATTTAACAGGTTCTCCCCGTGTCTGCTTCGGTTTCTGGTTGCTTTCAACAGAACATGTAGTAGAAAATGTTCTAAACTGACCTAGTGTTAATACATGTGTGGTCACATTCCTGTGTCCAAGGTGGTCCCTGTCTAGGACCCCATATACCGGTTGTTTTAGACTAGATCACTGCATCCCTGAATTGAATAGAGCTGTCATAGATGGTGTGTTTGGTTCAGAAATGGGAAATCTCATGACTATAGAAGACAAGATTATGGACACTGAACACCATAATTAATGAAGCCTGTGTTCAGGGGTCCAATTACTCTGTTCGTCACCATGTATTTTTTATTATTGGTAGAAATAATAAACACTGACCTGTAACACTCCCTGCGTCCACATCCATGGTCAGATGCAAGGTTGAACCATCAGATTGCATGCTTATTTATCCTTTAGGTTTCTGTGGCATTGCTGCTCACTTTGCATGCTCGAACAGCTCCTAAATGGGAAAAAAACAGATATATGTGGAGTTTATCCCCTTCATCTGGAACATACAGTGCTCTGTCTGGGCCTTATTGTTTATTAAGACTGGTTATTTTCATAATTTTTTGTCCATTATAATCACAATACTGTTTTTCATTGGGCACAACATGACTGTCAGGAAGCTAGGGCTGTACAAACCAAACCGAGAAATGTTCAAACTGATGCGTTGCTAATATATATTCCAAACACACGCATTTTTAACCATAACATAAAACTGTTGGTAATACTTACTAATCAAAAGTGTCTTCAGATTCATTACACTGAATTTCATTTTTTGGTTGGCTCCCTTCCAACTGATTTTTTTCCCAACACTGTTGCTGAACATGTGACCCAAGATGTTCCACGTCACCTTCTTCACATCTTGCCCTCCTAGTGATGATAAAACTTTGAGCTGTAAAATAAAAAATGCAAAGTCATATTTAATAATAATATGGGTGATATTAA